TTGGGGGCAAAATGTGACTCATCCCCATTAACTGATTTCCTTTTCACTAATCTGTATTTCCAAAAATAGATTATTTCCTACAATAACATGTGATTGGAGTTCCCAGAGCCATTTTCTGCATCTTCACTTAATTTCTGCTGAGGGATCACAACTCATTTGTCTTGGACTAGATTTTATCTAGATGCCAAATGAATAAATAATTCTCTCACCTGTAATTTCAGGGAATTATATTGTATGGATCCAAGATACACATTGTAGAAGAAGTGAAAAAAAATGGAGTTTTAAAAGTTATGGAATGAAGGCCATCATCTATTGAATAACTGTGCATCCATCCTCTTTCCAGCCCTTGTTCTGTCTCAAAGCTTCCACTGGGAGTCAGGATATCTCAAAAGTAAATTCTATTTTCTAATCATTATAATGGGTTAATTAGAATGAGAAATAGCTGCACTTTCTGATTATCTCCAGGCAATCAGAGTATCCGAGTGGCTGTGTCAGTGCTGAGTGCTCAGGATAGTCCAGCTGATGTCAATCATTTACAGGCTGGGTGACACCACCGCCCCGTTGATGTCACCGAGCGTGCCTGGCAGCATTCCTGCCGCTGACGGCACAGTCTGAAGAGTTCAAACAAAGTCAAGAGGATCGTTTGTTGATAAGGAAAACGCGGCTTTCAGTCCCAGTAGAGCCCCCAGAGAAGCCTGACCCGTTCAGCACAGGCTCCTTGTTGGGTTTAACACTACAGAAATCCCCTTGCAGTGAACTTCTGCTGATGTTGTGAGATAACCCCAAGTCCCATGAGCGCCGGGGCTCGAGCTGGGCTTGGGAGATGAAATATTCTGATAAAAAACGGCACTTCCTCTCCAGGCTGATAAGTGCATGTTCTTGCAGCACCGCTGGAACCTCGCTGAGCGCCCCAGTGAGGCTCTGTCACCTCTCCTGCCTCACTCCAGCCTTTCAACCGCCCCCCTCACACACCTCAGTGCAGCAGCAATTAACATCCATAAACCACAAATGCGGCTTTTATCTCTTTTTAGCTCACAACCATGAAAGCTCGCTGACATTCATAACACCCCAAAAGTTATCTGCCTCAACAGCTGAGAGAATTAAGACATAATTAAACATTCGTGCTTGACTGCGACTCCCAGAGGAAGGAACGTGGCTTTTTTAATTTAATTTTTAAATTAAAGATGTGTCAACTTTGGCCACCAAAGGTAACAGTGTTGGGGGCACATAAAGAAACAAGGGAAATCAAGAGCTTCCCCCCCGCTCTCATTGCTTGTCTCTTTTCAGACTAGACACAGGAAGCACCATGGGAACGCTGTATTTTTATGGTTGCAGGCAAGCATACACCATGTGCACCACAGCGTGCAGCTTCCAGTCCCTTGAGGCAAGAAAAGGGGGTTTTGTTTCTTTTTTTTTTTCCTTCTTCCCCATCAAGCTTTTAATTACCATTTTACTATAGCCTGCTGCCTAATTGTTTGCCCGATACTTAGCACTGATCATCATGGAAGCCTGTTTAACAGGGGGGTGGAGTAGGAGAAGTTGAGTTGTTTCCATGGAATGGCATCTCACCTGTGTCAGGACACACATAAAAAGCACCATAAGCTGGTGTGTTTGCACAGGCTCAGAGAAGTACAAATAGAAAACTGTTTGCTGGAAAAGTGGATTTTTTTCATACCAAATGAGCTTCAGTGATGGTGTTTCAGCCCTATACATTAATTTAGTGCTTTTGTTAACAGTCTGTAAGATTTTAAAGAGACCCCAGCACCACTTTTAGCATAAAAGGCTCCACCAAACCAAATCAGACAACATCTAGATTTAAACAGGTCCAGCTTCTGCTCAAAGCCTCAGACTAATTCCCCACAACATATTCACAATGCCACCCATGAATAATGCAAGAATCACAAAAACACGCAGTCCAAGAAACTGGGAGATTCCTACTCACTACGGATGGCTGACAAGACATGGAAAAAACAGCCATAATTGTGCTGGAGAAAAACATGTTACAGACATACTAAGGCAGTGGAAAGCAGGTTATCGAAGGCCTGATCTCTCTCCATGAGTCAGTGGCCTCGTGTTCCCATGATGGCCTTCGGCAGATGGAACAAAGCCCGGGGGCACGGATCATGCGGGGGTTCAGGAGAGAAAAAGGAGAGGTTTCTGTGTCAGGCTGTCATCAGCGATGAATTGGGAAGGTGCTGGAGTGGAATTGCTCACTCACAAACATGATTAACGTTTGTGAGAACCACATAAACATTTTTCATTGTTTCTGTTTAAATTTGATGTAAAATGAGGGATTAGTGATCGTATTAACGTGCCAAATAAAGAAACTGAGCTTCTTGGTTTTTATTAACCAATAGGTTTTTCAGGTGTAGGCAGAACATAATCCTTTTCCCAAAAACCACCACCAATACTGGTGATAGTTCTATTTTGTGATCCTGGAGAATATTATATATTCATTTTACCAAGGTTAGTGATCCCCAAAAGATAATCCTCCCACCAGGACAGCACTGTCAGAATGTGGTTTCATTTATAGAAATCAGACAGTAGTTAGTGACCCACGAGGACTGCTCAGGGACTAACAGAGCTGCTGTTATTTTATAAAGGGCATGACATGAAAGCTGAGATTATTTGTGAATTTCAGTCTCCAACAGCAACTGAACTGGTGTTGTTGGGTGGAAATTTAAGTGCACCTACTGATGGTTTCACGGCCTGGAGTACTAGCACAGCATGCTTAAATATTTAAGATTTATTGTGCTTCCGGTATCAGAATGACTGCAGAGAGCAGTGTGTGAAGCACTGAAGCAAACACTATGTATATTTTATTTTGTGCCATTTCACATGGAGATGCTGGAGGTACCTTTTTTGTGCATTTGAAGCAGCTTTCTCCTTGCAGTCGTGGCTTTATTCCTACAGTGAGCAGCAAGGAATGGGGCATTGTTGTACTGAAGGTTCATATTCACTTTATAATGAATGAGCTCTAATGGTAAGGGAGGCTGCTGGAGGGAAATTATGTTTTATTGATATTTATAGCATTGTCTTTGAGATGTAAATGTTCAGTGTTTGCATTCCAGAACAAACGGTAAAGAGACTTTAAGAGATCAGCAGCAATATAAAAAATGAATGGTAAGAGCTCTACTGACGCAGTATCTCATGTGTCCAAGTTGTTCCTGACTTAAATGTATGGAAAAGAGGGTGAGAAATGGTACTGCAGGCACAGGGCAGCCAGAGAACAGGAAAAGGACTTGCTTCATGCCTGGACACTGCATATGAGCAGCATGGACATGCCTCCTGGAAAGGGAAGGTGGGAAGAAGCTACAACTCCTCTCAGGTGTTCAGTACTGAGGGGTTTGGGAAAGAAACCCTGTCCTGGCTTCCTGCACCCACAGCTCAGTGAGCAGGTGGAGTGAAGGGCTGGGACAGTGGGAAAGCACAGGGAGAAGTGAGTTACTGAGAGTGGAATTGGTGCAAGGGGTGGACAAACAGCTGGAGCATGGCTGTGAATATTTTATGTCCTGTGGGATCTGAGAGATCAGCTGCCTTCAATGTAGAAAATGCTCAAGTCTTCCATGTTCTGTCTTTTCTATTAAACTTCTGTATTTAGGGTAAGCAGAGCAGAACTCACCTGCCCAAGGCAGGCTCTATATTGCAGACATCTATAATGAGCTAATCTTGACTGCAGAGTCCTGCTAAGCAGCAGCTGCTCTGTGGACACGAGGCTTTTCATCCTAATCCAGACACCCACATTTGGTCAAAAAACCTGTGTGATGTCTCTCCATAAATTGTCCAGAAAGGCCAGACACCAGCAGTTCCAGATACTGGCACTGTAGATCCTTGAGTGAGATTCATCTCACCACTCCCTTGAGTGTTTTATGTTTGCTTGCAATTTGTTAACCAATAAAAACATTTGGTCTTTAATAATGAAAAAGCATAACCTCTGCAAAATAATCACATTAACATTAGAGGGAACAACCAAAGCTACTTGCACAGCCAAAACACATAATTCTTTAGTGATTTACTTGATTCATGTGATACAAACTCTACCTCAAACTCCTACCCAAAGCCACAGCCGTAATTTCCCTCGGTGCTGCTGCACTGCCATGGACTTGTGTGACAGAAAAGCCCTGTGAAACTGGTAACACCATGTGTGCTGTGCCCAGGACACGTGCCCCACATCCTCCACCAGGCACACTCCTCACTGGTTGTGGCTGAGGCCCCTGGCACGGATGAACACTCTGAGATCATGGGCAGGAACTGTTGTTAATGCTGAGATTTCAGTTTAGGAGCTCCTGCAGCATGGAAGAAACTCAACACATGTGTCATAGACACATGTAAACCCCTGAGCTCTGTACAATTGCCAAGTTTCAGGAGCTGCTGCTGTCATCTCTATCTATAAATGAAGAGGGCCTGCTGGTTTTTAAAGACAGTACATATTAGTTTACTATTTTAATTAATCCCTATTTTTTCTCTCAGACCTGTAGGAAGGGTATTTTCTTCAACAATAAACATGGAAAACTGACCAACCTCCCTTTCACCCCCCAGTTTAAAATACAGCATTGCTGCTACAGTTTTAAATTTTACAGGTCTGAGTGGTCCTGTGAATTTGAGATAACTTGTTCTTTCTTTCAAAAAAGGAATAAATTATCAAGTTATTTTTTAGGTATGAAAGTACTTAGCAGCATAAATTAAAATTGCAGTCCTAACACAGGATTTGCCTATGCAAACTGCTCTTAGGAATTTGTTAGCACACACATTAAAGGCTCACCAGATGCACTTGCTCTTTTATCTTCCCATCCATATTTCACAGATCCTGTAAAACTGACCTTGCTAAAATGCACGTGAGGTTCCCTGATGGAAAAGTGTTGCTCCTCTTTAGAGTGTGTTGAAATGCTCCAAATGAATTGTATTGCTATTCCTTTTAAAGCCATGCTCTCACAGCATAATCAGATGAATAAAAAGACAAAATACAACTACTCTTTATCAGAATTCCAACTCTACTTTACCTCCTGCTTCTTCATTAGACTGATTGTGTTCCTTCATATCTTCCACATTATCCATGCTTTCCATTTCCTGGGATTTGTTCAGATTACAGTCTGTCAAATCCTCTTGTTCCTCTGGAAAAAAAAAAAAAAAAAAAAAAAAAAAAAAAAAAAAAAAAAAAAAAAAAAAAAAAAAAAAAAAAAAAAAAAAATTAACTATTTCTTCTCCAAGAATATTTCCAGGTGATTCCCTCAAAGAAAGCACCTGCACACTCCCAGCACTGCTGACAGTACCCAAAATGTTATTTCTACAGATGCACTAGTTGCACTGTGGGGAATGATTTCACTTCCCAAAATCCTACACAAAATCTCACACACACCTGGAACACATTTTCAGCTTTTGCTCAGATCTTATTATAATAAAATCCAGTATATCTAACTCTATCATAGGTGCTTTGACAACTGCTGTGAGCAGGGATGGAGCTCCTTGGAGCAAGGCAAAAGAATCACAGCTCCACTTTGTTCTTTTGGGCAAAATATTAATAATTTTGGCCTTAAGCCAGAAAACTGCTCCAGCACATGTAATAAAGGCCTCTTTGAACCCACTTGCACTTCTCTGCTTATTCTAAATGTGTATTTTTAAGTATCAACATTATCATGCAGACCAGCATCCCAGAGATCCCTGCCTCTCTACTTGGAAATAAAGACACATTTTTAACTGTAGTGAAATTTATTCGGGTAAAGTGTTTGAAATAAAGCCTCTTTCATTAACCCATGATGCAAACTAGCTCCATATTATGTGTATTTCTGTAAATTTCAAATCAATATTTCATTCAAAAACAGACAATATTTTTTTCAAACATTATGGGAATTTTTAAAATTTGCAGTAATATTGTGAAATTGCTGGTGAATTCTTTAACTAACTGACAGCTGGATGGAAACACCTCTGATCCTTCTCAAGGTAAATATTACACTGGACCTGAAAAGAGGCTCAACTTTTTGATTAACAAGAAAGTGAAACACTTGTCAAACTCACTCAGGAGGTTTGTTTTCATATTTTTAGAAATGCAGTCAACCAAGAGAATTGTGTTATTCTTGCTTCCCTAATCAAAACTTCCAGTTTTCTCCTGAAAATATTTCCTTTTCTCTTATACAGTCCTTTTTTCCCACTTCACTATAAATTTCCAGTATTATATTGAACTTCCATGGTTTTATTTCATCTCTAAAATTTACTTTTTTTGCCTTTAATGCCTCTCTTTGTACTTTTGACTGTTCTTCAGTGTCCTGGGACCCTAAAGCAGCTGCAATTCATGAATTTTTCTCCATTTAAATATAAAATTGTCAAGAGAGGGTGGAAGAACACAACTGAACAGCACAGTACCTGCAGCTACGGGCTGTTCCTGAGGGTTACTGAGGTCCATTCCGGGCTGTGAATCTGCAAAAGACAGAAAAGCAGCCTGAGCTGTCTAATATTCAGAACAGTTCACGACACAGTTGTTACAATATTATAAATTCCTGTTTTCCTGGCTGAAAGTAAAATTGAGAAAGAAAACATTTCAAAGAAATAAAAACCAAATTAGTATCAAGCTTCAATTCTTTATATCCTGTGCCCAGAAAATGGATTAAGTATGATTTTCTAACTTCAAAAATTATAGAACAGAGTGCCTTAAGCTTTCGATTTGCTCAAGTACCCTGAGCACAGTGCAGCCATAGTAACCCCGTAGAAAGTTAATTTTTCTAAAGCACAAAGATATTTTTACATTCTTTTTCCAACACAAAGGGAAACCCCCATTATCTTCACAAGATTTACTTGGTTTTCATGGGAATGCAAGTCTAATTCCCACTGAGAAATTCCAAAGGGGATCAAATGCTAGGAATTTTAAACATTTTTCAGATGAATACCCGTGCAGCCCAGTTTCCCAGTGTGCTGGGGGCTCAGCAGAGCTCTGAAGCCAGCACAAGCTGCAGGAATTCCCATTGCCCAGTGCCCAAAATTCAGCTGTTGGGTTGGATTGGAGGCACAGACCTGAGCTGTCCCGTTATATCTTCACTCCAGACCTCCCTGCCTTGAGATTTCATTGTTAGGAGGCTGAATTCTTAACACAGTCATAGTTACCTGCTTCCTTCCTCCTTTCTTTCCTGTAGCTTTTTCCCCCTCTTTATTTTTTACATGCCATAAGATCTTTTATCAGCTTTGAACCTAAAAAATAATAGTTTCTGGACCAGGAAAATTTCTTCCTGGCAGTTACATAACAGAAACACCCAGGCAGCGGGCATGAGGTGTTAACCACGGGTGACATTTACCCCATAATTATCTGTCTTTACCTCCTCTGCATATGGAACTTTTTTGTGGTCTCTGCAACGTTAAAATATAAAGCTCTGGTAACTCTCCAGCGAGGCAGCATGGTATCAGAAGAGGTACTCCAAAAAAACTGCATGAATAGAGGGGGGGATAATGTGTGCAACAAAATAGAGGCCTTGCATCATAAAGATAGTCACAGAATTAAATGCCAAAAAGTTCAGACATTTAATGAATTGATATTTTGAAGAAAATAGGAAAGATCAAGGAACGGTGTAATTATAGCCCTTAATTTCTCATTTTCATTCTATTATGCCAGGAAAACTGAGGTACAAAGAAGCAAATGGACCAAAATGGACCAATTTCTGCAGCAAGTAATGCTGAGAAAAAATCAGTAAATTCTGGGTAAATGAACAAAATTTAATATTGATTTTAACTTTACATTGCAATAAATTGCCCAGAGAAGCTGTGGCTGCCCCACTGGAAGTGCTCAATGCCAGGCTGGATGGGACTTGGAGCAGCCTGGGGTAGTGGAAGGTGTCCCTGCCCCGGGCAGAAGGTGGAACTGGATGAACTTTAATGCTCTTCCATCCCAAAACCGTGATTCCATGAATACAGACACTTAAATTACACAAACCCTTGTAATTCTGCACATAATTAAATGAAATCTCCCTTTTTCTGCAACATTTGATTTTGGTTTTAATTGCATTTGGAATCCCTGCACAGTTGCCCCATTTGGGAGATGGGGGTCGAAGCCCCAGGCTGAAGCCCCAAGGTGCTCTTGAAACCTTGGCAGCAATTCTGAGCTCCAAGGAGGTTGTGGAAGAAAGAACTAGAATCCCTACATGACTGCTTAAATTCCAATAATTCTACAAATATCCTGGATAACTCTATCTTTTTAGAAACCATTGGATTCCTCAGGTTTCCCTGGCAGCTGCAGGACAACTTGCTGGAGAACGACATTGCCTGAACCCCGCGAGAGCCGAGCAGGACCTGCTCAGCCTCCTCAAACCCTCATCTCCACCCTGCTGAGATGGAGGCTGTGAATTTATTCATATTTTGTTGAACACAACAGTTTCATGCCCATGATGGCCGCTGGGCAGGATAACCCTTCAGAAGAGATAAGAACAATGACACACCACAGAATGTTTCTCTTCTTGCTTGAGAAACATCCTGGTCTTTGTCTCACTCTCAAGCCTCCAGCCTCCCCTCACCAGCACCTGCTTTCTTTACAGCATCAGTCTCCAGCAGCTTCTTAGAGCCTTAGTGGTCTCTTCATATTTAACCTCAGGTGTCTCTCCTCACCATCCCAAGCCAACTCCTTCATGGTGACAGGAGAACACGTGGGTAGATTCCACCCCTGATTCTATACCAACAAGGTTATTTTTCTACCAAATATTCAGAAAAACACAAGGCAGGAAATCACTTACAGAACACGTTTGTCTTCCCAAGCTTCAAAGAGCTCCAGTGGCTGGGGTGCATGGGAAGAGGACGCCCGTCTCTGTGTGCTGCAGCTGAGGCACAATGTGCATTTACAAAGCAGAAGTAAAATTCATGTGCTTTCGAAACCAATCCTTGGCCATCCTGTGTTCTACACCAACAGGCAAAGGGAGCCAAAATATTCAAATAGCTTGCTAAAAAAGTGCTGTGGTGTTTTAGTATGCAACACTATTCATACTTTATTCTGGTATTTGACCAGACCAGCCAACCAGAAATTTAACCCCCCTGAAATGGATATTTCTCAAATCACTGATGATCCGTTTCCTTTCTGTCCTTAATGCAGAATGGGAGGTATATTTTGAATTATTATAATTTCACCTGTTTGTCCCCAAAATGAAACCAGAATGCTGCCTTTTTCCTGCTGGCTGCACTTTTCATCTCAACAACACAGGGAAGGAGACACCTTTGAAAGTCCCATCTGCTCTTAGTCCTTCCATCACAGTATATGGAGCAGAAACAGACATTTTCCTTGTCTGAAGTCAGTGCCTTCACTGTGTACACCACTCAACCTCTTCCACCCCAACAAGTTTTTCACCGTCAGCTCACACTGAGCCTTTAAGGAGAGAAATTCTAGCTGATGTCTCCACTGAATATACTTCATCATCCACATCCTCCATGGTTTTCTGAAGAAGGCACCTGGGCCAAGTAAACTCTTTATGGGGTCTCTGATACTTTGCTGCTCTTAAGCACCATGCAGTATGTGAAACATCATGGGCATTTTGGGAAGAAATCCTGATCAGCACTGATATTATGCACTGATCAGCAGTGTATAATTGAGGATATTTTTCTTGTATTGGTGCATACGACCTTCTAAACCCAGCAGAATAATTCAGTAATTCAATATAGAATATCCTGAATCATAGAATACCTGAGCTGGAAGAGACTCACTAGGATCATCAAAGTCCAACTCCTGATCCAACAGGTTGATCCCAACCCAGAATCTGGAGGTGACAGCTCCAGCTGGACAGTTCTTTCAGTAATCACAAAACCAAACCACTCACAGAGAAATACAATCAAGTTAAGGACAAATTTTGGTTCAAACACCCACTCTTGCCAGGGCTTGTCTGCTCCTCTGCGACCCTACCAAACCTCCACACACTGGGTGTGGAAAATCCGAGTCAGCCGTGTTATCCCTCTGTCCTCAGGGCACAGAGATTCGTCCAAGACTCACGGAAACACTCCTGAAAGTTACTGTATCCAAGGACAATACATTACAACACTGTTGCACTAACTTCATCCCCAATCCAGCACCCTCAGGCGCATGAATGGATCCTCATCATCCTCAAGTACAGACCCAAAACCTGAAGGATCATTTCCATGTTCACTTTGAGCGCACAAGAAATAAGAACACCAAAGAAAGGACTTCTTGGATAACCTCAGTTATAGTGAAACCCTGTTATTTTCTAACTGCAGACTATTCCAATATGCCTCACAAATTTTCCTTCCCAAAAAGACAGCGATCCCGACTCGATCAAGAAAATGAAGCTGCATTTTTAAGTGGCAAAGTGTACCCAAATTCATTCTTTCAAATCATTAGTTTCTTCTCTCCAACAGTAAAATTCGCAGTTCAGTCAGATTCAATGAGTGATTATTTACAGGAAAATAATATAAAAGCCTTCAGCAAAGGAAAATGCATTTTTAAATAGGCATCTGCAGCTAACTTAAAATAACCAAAAGCCTCAAGTCATTGAGACAGGACAGAATCTAAACTGGCGCCCTTAAAGCACTGAACTGAAGTAAGAATCTCCACCTTTGAAACAAGAAACCAAGTGATGCTTCACAAAGCTTCTTTGCCAGGATTGTTAAAAACACCAGAAATACTGCTTTTCTAAGACAGGTAATTATTCCAGAACCCAATATTAACTCCCAGATCGGTTTTTGCTGGCTCTGAATATTATAAGCATGTCTTACAGGTGAGAAGAAAGAAGACATCCTTGAATTCGTTAAACCCCAGAATACGAACAGCAGATAAAGCACGCTCTAAACCCTGGCTTTATCACGCACTTTGTGAAATCTCTAAAATTAAACAGAGAGGGGGCAAAAAGCCCCGTTCGTTTCCCGTTTAATTGCTACACGCGATTCGATTTCTTTTGCAGAGCCTGCGAATTGTTTGCAGCAAGCTCTGAAGAAGCGGCTGAAAGCCCCGGAGCGATGGAGCCGCTGCGAGCCCCGGCGGGACAGAGGGTCCGGGGGAAGAGCGGGGTCTTTTCTCACCTTCCATGCTCCGTTCGGGGGTCCCAGCTCCACCTGCCCGCCCGGGCTCGGGACTGCCAGCGGAGCGCACCGGCCTCGCCTCCCGCCCGTCACCGTGACATCCGGCTCGGCGCTCGGCGGGCGGAGAGCGGCGCCGGGCGGCGGGGAGAGGAGCCGACCCCGGTCCCGGTCCCGGGTCCGGACCCGCCTGCCTTGGAGGCGCTGCTGGTGCCGCTCGCAGGGGACTCCTGCCCCTCGGGAGGCACAGCGGCCGGGCAGGGGGGCTGAGGGCACAGCGCCTGTTTTGGGAGATCGGGGGAGCCCCCAGCCACTTTCGTGCCCAGAATGGGCACACCCAGGACTGTGTGTTAAAGTTAAATGGCTGAGATAATAGTAAAGAGAACTCAGGTTGAGATGGTTTTCTTAAGAAAACAGTGTTGCTGTTTAGCAGAAAATCAAAGTACAAGGTTCTTCGATAAAATACAACAAATATTAATTTCAAAGTACTCTAGTACACACTCCAAAAAGGGGATCATTCCACACTGGGCCTGAACAGGGCTTGGAGAGACCTGACCGGGTGCAGAATATCCCTACTGGGGCAGAGGGTAGCAACAAGTGACATTTAGAGGTCACTCCAGGCCCAAAACCAGCTAATGAAGTGAGAAATGAAATCGGGATCTGAGCTCATCACTTGGATCTAAACCCAAAGGCAGCAAGAGCAAATTATCACAGATCAAGAGCAGGATAACAACATGGAAACATGATTCTCCTACTCACTTCCTGTGTGGTGCCAACGGCTGCTTCTTACACTGGTGCTTTTCCATTGCTTGGAAAAAGATTCTAGAAATAAAATGTTAAAAAAAAAAAAAAAAGGGGGATAATCAAGCAATTCTTGGCTATTCCAGACAATCTCTGTAATCCCTTTCCAGAATCATTTCATAATTAGTCAGGTTTCCTGCTTCTACAAATTTTAAGGAAGATCTGGGATTGCTGTGCAGCAATCAGAAACCCCTGGTTTCCATCCCAGGATTATCCACGGCCATTTTCTCTTACTGCCAGACTTGTTTGATTTAAATCCCTATTTCCCCTCATGTTTGCCCTCAGAGAAACAATTGTATCTTCACTCTGTTTTTATTTTAAGTGCACAATCAAACAAGCCTGGCTTTCCCAGGCTATAAAAACCCCCCTGTGCTAATTGTGACCCTCCTGTTTGTGATCCCACCTTTGGATCACTCACCTGAAAGATCAGAGATAGAAATTGGTGGTCTGCAGGCTCTCCAGAGCCCTGCAACAGGTCCTTTACCTGACTCTGCACTCCTGGAAATCTCTCTACATATTTCCTAGGATAAAATATTCAGCTTTTTAATGTCTACTCACGCCATGATCAAGTTTAAAACTGCAGATTTTTCTCCTCTTCTATCATTTCCTACTGATACTCTATTAACCAAAAAAAAACCCCACAAAAACAAAATAAAAAAAGCAAAACAAAAGATAACTCCAACCAAACCCCAGTAATCCAGGTTTTAAACACAAATATAAATACCTGAATTCACATTTTGTCCTATTAAATCCTCCCTGCAACACTTCCTGCTCTTAAAAATAACCCATTCTTCTTCTGCCCCCGACTCTACCCGCCCCCCCCAAAAAAAAAAAAAATAAAAAAAAGCTTGCAAATCTGTAATGAAAATTTACCAGTCTGGAAGTTAGAAATATTATAGTTGAAAATAAATGAGTCATTTGGCTAAAGACTCTGACTATGAGTTTATAAAGAACCAAAACTGCAGCCAAAGCTTTATAGTAGAGATACTATTTCATAATAATTAGCAACCTGGGGCCTGATGGGCTGTGCAGGACCTGAAAGGAGCTATAAACATCCTTAGGAGCTGAGGCTGCTCAAGCTGAAATATGACTCTTTTATAGCAGACACGTTACAAACTGAATCATTTTGCCTGCACAGTGTCAGCATGAAACATTCACTTTGAGTAAAACTGAAAGCATTCAGCACATGGGAACATGGGATTGTCTGAGGTGGTCCCGGTTCTGACCTGCTCAGCAGCTCAAGGACATTAAAAATGAAAACCCTGACAAAGTTCTTACACTTTAACTGACCACTTGAGTTAATGTGTTGACCTAAGGAAGAAGAAAGCTTGAATAGAACTATTTTCCATCAATAACTTATACCTATACCTCCCTTTTCACACTTTTATTTTTGTATTTTTACCAAATTTCTTTCTTTTCTTTATTAAAGGAAACTCATAACTTAAGTGCTGTTTTTACATAGAAGCATTAAAACTTTCACAGTTCTGTAAAAATAACTCTTATTCCTATGCTGGTTGTTCCATATTTGTTATGCAAATCCTGTGACATCATTTTTGGACACTAGCATGGTCTGGAGTGATAAATGTGATCTAGGTAGGTAGAATAAATACTATTTTGCTAATTTCCAGAGGCTTGGCCGCTGTACTGTTCTTGAGTGTCTCGGAGTGTGCAGGGCGGTCAAACGTGAGTATCCCCCATGCCCTGTCAGCAGCTTCTGCGTGCTTTTGTATCACCCGCCCTAGAAACAAAACAGTTACACGTTTAAAAGTTTCAAAGACAGCAAGTTTTCCAAAACATGTAACTGACTTGAAAGTCACTTGCAGTGATACTGTGGCATGTGGCTTCATTTTAGAGCCAACACTATTCCCTCGTGCTTTCTTTCTGTCACAACAAGTGGCAGAATTATGGAATCCTAGAGGAGTTTGGGTTGGAGAGTCTTTCAAAACCATTCAGCTCCACCCCTGCCATGGCAGGGATACCCTGGTTGCTCCAAGCCCCGTCCAACCTGGCCTTGGACACTTCCAGGGACAACTTCCCTGGTAAATCCATTCCAGGGCCTCACCACCATCACAGAGCAAGCAGATTTTCTTCCCAATATCCAATTTGAATCTCCCCTTTTTAGTTGAAGCCGTTCCTCTTGTCCTATCACTTCAGACCTTTGTCCAAAATCCCTTTCCAGCTCTCTTGGAGCCTTTTCAGGTGCTGAAAGGAATGGTTTGTTTTGTTTTGTTTTTTTGGGGGTTTTTTTGGGGTTTTTTTTGTTTTTTTTTTTTTTTTGTTTTTTTTTTTTTGTTTTTTTTTTTTTTTTTTTTTTTTTTGTTTTTTGGTTTTTTTTTTTGTTTGTTTTTTTTGTTTTTTTTGTTTTTAACTAGAAAAATATGTATCCTGTAATGACTTTCTACAGAAACCTGCAGCTGGAGAACACCCAGTGCTCACAGCCCCTCAGGAGGAAAAACCACAGGATGTGCCCAGCTCTTACTTTCAGTCTTTCTCACAGCAAGTGACAGAAACACAGAAGCACAGAATGGTGGGTGTTGAAAGGGACCTTAAAGCCCATCCAGTTCCCCCCCTCTCCCTCTCCATGGGCAGGAACATCTTTCATATCCCAGGGCAGGTTGAGTGCTGACAGACAAAGCCATGATGGAGCCTCTTCCCCCCTTGTCCCCCTGTACTTCCCTCTCCTTGCCCCACAGCCAGAAAAACCACTTTAGAGTCAAAAACACAGCTCACTGCGCACTGTGGAGGAGCGATGTGGGCATGAAGGGTGACAACAGGCGCGGAGGGGGTGGCCAGGGCCGTCCTTCACTGCCAAGCGCCTCAGGGGCCTGAAAGCGAGAAAACCAAAAAAAAAAAAAAAAAAAAAAAAAAAAAAAAAAAAACCCCCCACCTCCCCACAACTAAATACTATTTAAAAACCTCAGTGAAGTGCTGGCGAGGAAGCAGAATGTTTTTAAAACTGTATAAAAAGCACGGGGTGTGGGCGAGAGAGAGGAGAAGGAGCGCGGGACCCCGGCGGGGACACCCCACCCTTCCCGCCCTCAGCCCTGAGGGGAGGAAAAAGGGCGGGAAGCGCCGTGCGCGCGCGGGGATGGAGGCGGGGGGAGGGGGGGGCCGTTAGCGCCCCCTCGCGCCCGCGGCGGCCGTTGTGAGGGGCGGCGGGAGGATGGCGGGGGGCGGCGGGCGGCCCCGCTGCCCCCCGGGCGCTCTGCTGAGCGTGGCGGCCGTGGTGGTGGTGGCGGGATGGGGTAAGTGGGACTAGGGGTGGGAAAGCACCTGCGGGGCTGTGTTGGTGCGAGGCCGGTTCGCTCAGAGGGTGGTAAGAGGGGATGGGAGCGCGTCAGCGAGTCCCGCTTGCTGAGCTGGGGTGGGGGGGATCTCCATAGAACATTCCCTCAGAGGGGCAGATTGAAGCTCTGTTAGAGGGGTCAGGTGGGCTCTACTGACACCCTGTTGGTGGGTGCATCTCCACTGTGAGGGACAAATGTCCCCAAAAAACCTTCCCTCAGAGTGGGAGATGAAGCCCCTCAAGAGGGGACAGGTGGGCTCCATTGATACTGCTCCACTGTGGGGGACAAATGTCCCCAAAATACCTTCCCTCAGAGTGGGAGATGAAGCCCCTCAAGAGGGGACAGGTGGGCTCCATTGATACTGCTCCAGTGTGGGGGACAAATGTCCCCAAAAATCCTTCCCTCAGAGTGGGAGATGAAGCCCCTCACGAGAGGACAGGTGGACTCCATTGACATCTCATTGGTGGGTGCATCTCCACTGTGAGGGACAAATGTCCCCAAAAAACCTTCCCTCAGAGATTAAGTTCTTCAAGAGGGGACAGGTGGACTCCATTGACACCTCATTGGTGGGTGCATCTCCACTGTGAGGGACAAATGTCCCCAAAAAACCTTCCCTCAGAGTGGCAGATGAAGCCCCTTAGTAGGAGACAGGGAGCTAAAGCCCCTTAAGAGGGGTTGTCATAAGTCCCAGTGACACCCCACTGTCCCCCAGGCTCAACCTTGGGACACAGCAATCAGGCAGGACCACCCCAGTGTGCCCATGGCCTGAAAAAAACCCTATTTCCAATAATTTCCACCTCTCCTGGGGATTCTCGTCACAAAAACCTTCCTGCCCAACATCAGCCTGCTGTTTACCAGAAAGGAAAGGGCTGAGAGATCCCTGCCCTGTGTCTGCTCGGGGTCATACTACAGGACCTTCACTTTATAGTCAGATTTTATAAGTATTTTAGTGGCTTTCTGTAGAGATGCAGGTTCATCTGGTCTAGAACCTGGTACATCCAGGCAGGTTTGCAACATGGACACTAAAACAATTAAAAAGGGACAGGTAAAAAGCAAGGGCTCCTGCTTGTTGCTAAGAAAAAAAGCATAGGGGAAAAGGAAAAGTAAGGCAAAAGAAACAAAATGAGACAAAAGCCAGGGTGAAATAAAGAATTAACGATCACACATTTAGATTGATCTCTAATATTCTGATTACTTTTCCCTGCAGTGAGAGCAGAACAGAAGGAAGAGCAATCTATTGATTTAATTGGAAAGAATGAAGTTTATGGTGACACCAGGCATGAAGGTAAACTTGTCAATTTTTCCTACCTAGATTTCATTTTTACTAGAATTTGTAGTTTTAAGCCCAGGGATCATTATGCAGCACCAGTACACATGGAACCTCATATGCACAGGAACAAGAGAAAGGGGGATGGGGATGGAAATATATTTGTCCCATAGTGCTGCTGGAAGCACTGATGAAAATTTAACATCTAAATGAGGGTTTCACTGAAAAATCTGGTGCTTTTTTAATGCCTGTGCCACAGTTTGTGTGTGGGACACGAGTGTCTCCCTCTAACAGTCAGCACCAGGCACACTGTGGACAGTTCCAAGATATTAATTAAGAACAAACGGAGATTAATCTTTAATATTACACTTTACAAGTCCAAGACTGAAAAATACACTTCAAACACAATTTTCAATGAGGTTTTTTTGTTTTTTTTTTTTGTGATTTCATT